GAGTACTTTTGGTGGGGAGGGCTGAGACAAGGTTTTGCTATGTAGTTCAAGGTGGTCTTGAACTCATTGTGAAGCCTAGCTGGCCTTGAACTCATGACAGTCATCCTGCCTCGGCCTCTTGAGTGCTGGAATTACACGTGTGTGTCACCATGGCTGGCCTCATTATGATTCTTTAAAGTTGATATTTCTTCTTCAATTACATTTTTCCCCACTGTAAGCATAGTAGGTAGAAGCATTCCAATATAATTTGTGTCATTCTTGTGGTTAATTATGTCTTCCACTATTATGGTGTTGTATGTGCTTATCTGGTAAAGATCTTAGATCTTAAAATAGGGTTATTTATCTATTTATTTATTTGAGACAAGGTCTTACTATGTAGTTTAGTCCGGACTTGAACTTGCTACGTATCCCAGGCTGGCCTCAAACTCATGGCGATTTCCTTGCCTCAGCCTCCTGGGCACTGGGGTTATAGGTGTGCACCAGCATACCTGGCTGGAATATTACTCTTCAGAAAAGCATTGAGTTTATAGAGCAGGGAAGAAGGTGCACATATTGAGTGTTTCTCTAAAACATTTATTATTTAAGGAAATATATTTAGAAATTTCCATTTGGAAAATATATAAAGTGGTATCTTTTAAAGTAAATGAAGGTCAGCAGTCTCTACTGCAAGCTACATAGTAAAATATTGTTGGATGATATTGTGACTCCCTCTTTCTGTGTGAATGTTGAAATGAGAAAAATGAGAAAAAAAATTTTTTTTTTTTGGAGACAGGGACTCACCATGTGCAGGCCTTGAACTCAGTGTGTAGCCCAGGCTGGTCTTGAACTTGTGGCAATCCTCTTGCCTCAGCCTCTTGAGTGCTGAGATTGTAGGCATGTGCCACCATACCCAGATGGAGTGAATATTCAGAGTGACAATTTCTTTAGCAAATATCTGCTGTAAACTGTTTTATCTAACTGGGAAGTTAGATTAGGCTGATGTGCACACTCTTGAGTCATTTACATACATCTAATAGGTAACACGTGGATGTAAATCATCAGTTTCGGTTAGGAAGTGATAAGAGATACAGATGAACGGCCCTGATTTCTGAAGGTTTTCAGGGAATTATATGTTCATCTTTCTTCCTCACCTTTCTTACTTTGGTTTTCTTACTTTGGATTTTTTTTTCCTAACTCCCACTGTGGTGCACATGACTCATAATCCATCTTTATGCTGGATTGCAAATAGAAATATACTCCTTTTCAATGAACTGCTTTTTATGTATTGGTTAGTATTTCTTTGGCTATGAAACAATGTATATGATATAAAGTCTTTTATAGGAGGTTTGAACTTTTAAGAAATTTGCATTTGAAAATAAAGATAGTTTGCCTGAATAATTTCTCATAACGTACATCAGGACATTTCATTGAACAGTAATTCAAAGAGGTATATTTTGTCTGAAAATATACTCATTCAGCAGTTTTCAACAATATTTAGTGCTAGTCACCTTTTTTGGATAGATATAGTATATATTAACTAGTCAATTTTGTAGTTTAGAAATAGCCTCTTAGAGACGAGGATAAGAGATATCAATTAAGTTTCTTTTTCCCACAGTGATACAGCTCTAAATCTATGCATGGCATAGGGTTTTTACATTCTGATGGACTGTAGTTTTATTTATTATTCTCATGGAAAAAAATTCATTGTCTCTAGTACACATCTTGATTTTTATCTTTATGTTTAATGATTGTATTTTTGCTCAGTGGGAGGCACATATGCAAATCAGTCAAATTAAATATTCATTGAGAATCCTTTAAACTTTGTATTTGCACTTATCTGCCTTTTAAAAAAAATTGGCTTAAAATTTTGATTTCCTGTGGACAAGTACTTTTTTTTTTTTTTTTTGCTGATTTTTTAGAAGTGCTTAGAATAATAGCTGATTCATAGAAGCTCAGTAAATATTTGTTGAATGACTAAATTCATAAATATCTTTTCTTTGTGTTTTTGGAGTCTCTTTGTGTTTTGGCTTCAAACGCTAAAAAAGCCCTGTGTGCAAGGAGTTTAGGTTTATTAGAGGAGGTTCAGAGCAGTCCAATTGATGATAATATTTGAATTATTTGTTTGTTTTTAATTAGGCTTTGAGTTACTGAAAGGCAGGAACTTTTTCTGATCTTTGTGTTTTTATTTTTATTTTTTTAAATTTTATTTAAGGAGAAAAAGAAAAAAAAAGCAGAAAAAGGGTACAAGTTATACAGAATTTCAGAAAAAAAAATAAACAGTAGGAAATCACTAGTTAATGGATTACATATTGTCATCTTAGAAATATTTGTTCAAGTTACAAAATTAAAGCATATAAAGTGGACATTTAAACAGTGAGACTGCAAACAGTTCTGTTCAATGATCCAACAAAACTCAGTAATATCATTGTCTATCTTATACACTTAAATATACATGCAGTTATATTGTTTAGAGCACTTTGTTTTCCTCTCTTTTGTACAATGACTATTACACATTTTGGGTTCCATTACTTCCACTTTTTTTTTGAAGAGAGAAAACTAAATGTGACATAACAGAACAGAGTCAGTCAAATCAAAAGGGTGGACATAATAGATAATGTAAAAACATAATACAAGGTGATCAACAAAGGTTACCATAATGCCTCTTGCTATCTTAAGAAGAATTGCCTACATCATCAGTTATAATAAAATTGAACAAAATAGTAAAGAACAAAACCAACAAAACCAAAACATTGGAGACATTACAGGTCTTCAAAAGTAGATAATAGTCAACCAGAATGGGCATCATAATGAATCCCACTATCTTCACAGCTGTTGCCTAAACTTTCAAACCTGGCACTATCAAGCAAAACAGAATAGAGGAACATCAGTCAAAACAAGATGGTGAGAGCAATACAGGGCTTCAAATCAAGTTAATAGAAAATCAGAGTGGGTTACTATAATATATCCTGCTATTTTTTATTTTTCCCTTAATTAAAAGGATAAAAATAAAAAAGTAAATAATAAAATGGAGATTGAGATAAAAGAGGGCATAACAACAAAACAGCGCAGATCAAAACATAACCATTTAAGCAAAATAGTGTTTCACCACAAGATAATCCCGACATAAAAGTAGTTACCACATTGTCTCTTTCCTTGAAATGTTTGAGTATAACTTTGTATACTGTAGCATCAAATATGTCAAAACAATGTAAAACCATTCAAGAGAATGACAGTATTACAGAGTATTTAGAATCAACTAACAGAAAATGCACAATGGTTTCTGTATAATCTCCTTGAAATTATGGTATTAGCATGTTGTTTAGTAATACAGAAATAAATATGGAAGAAATAATTGACAAAATAAAAAATGTTTGCTTGCTTCTTGTGAGGCGTATTTCAGGATGGGAAAAGGGTCTCCTGTCTTTCAAATATTTTTTTTTTTTTAAGATGCTGATTGACTCATTAAACTGTGTGCTTCAGTTATTGTCTTTCATGCTGAATGAGTTGCCTGCTCTATCTGGCATGTAGATATGTGCTGAGTTAAAGTGCATAATGAAGTTATTTTATCTCATGAGTCATATTTTGTAGATTAAGCAGTGTAGAGATTCTAAGAAGGATTCCATATGAAAACACTTTTATTTCTACCAGAGTCAAGTGGTATGACACTAAAGAATAATATAAGACATGGTCTTTATGATTATTACATGTGTACATACAGTGCCCGAGGCTTACTTTTTTTAAAAAAGGGAGGTTTTGGGTGAGTGATCATAATTACTGTTCTATTTGTTTTCCAATCTGGTCATAAGTTAAGATGGATTAATTGGTCAACTTTTTGTTACCTCTTTGGCATTAGGAAGTATCACAAAACACGAATTTGTTTTAGACAGCAGAGTAATAAAAAATTTTTAGAGTTTTCATCCCAAGGTTACATTCATAGTAAAGTTACCACCTTAATTATTCCAGTTACATAATAAAGACATCGATGATATGGCATATTTGCATTACCTAGATAGAATGCCACATTATTTAGTTTTGTATATCAGAAAGCTAGACATTAGAACAGAGGTAATGAAAGCCAAATTAATGATTTATCCTAATGGTTTGTGTTGATTTAAAAGTTGAGTAGAATCTACCTAAGACATAATAGACAAGATCTAAATAAAGGAGGCTTATAAGAAGGTGAGTACTGCTCTAGCATGCCTGTAGTAGACCCTTCACCCAGGGCAGAGTGCTTTTATGTTAAGTACATGGTGGCTGGTACTACAAAGTTTCCTAATTTCTAAGTTTTTCATGTGTTTCTTCCTTCTTTTCCTTCTTTCTTCCCCCTCACAGTATTATGATTACTATACAGCACTAAAGTGATTCATCATTAGTTTTATTCATTGTTTTACTGTATTTTTTCCTTTTTGATTTTTTTGAGACAGGATCTTACTATGTAGTCTAGGCTTAGGCTGTTTTTGAACTCACTGTGTAGCCCAGGCTGGGCTTGAACTCACTGGGATCCTCCTGCCTCAGCCTCCCAAGTGCTGAGATTACAAGCATACATTATTATGCCTGGCTAGTGTTAAGCTTTTAAAAACTTTTAAACATTGCCTTTTTTCCTGATATTTTTTAGGCAGGCAGGCAGGCTGGCTGGCTTGTTCTCTCTCTCTCTCTCTCTCTCTCTTTTCTCTGTAAAATGTAAGGGCTGTTTATAAGCTGGGAGGCTGATATGATTTAGACCATTTGTAAAGAGCACGTCACTGAAAATTCAAGTTTCTGTCATATTTGTTTTTAATATCATAAAGAGAAGTGAAAAATGGAGTCAGATTTTGAAGATTATTATACATTTGTTTAAAACCAATACTGTAGATATTGTAATACCGAATACATATGTGCATGTCATTTAAAGGGATGTCGGAGCATATTGTACCTATATATGTTGTTATCATCGCTATCTTTTCATGTGAGACAAAGCAGTTGAACAGCAGGTTGAACTCTTAGCTGGAAAATTTCTTCCTCTTTCTTTTTTTTTTTTTTTTTGGTGGCACTGGGGCTTGAACCCAGGTCCTCTTGCATGATAGGCAAGCTCTCTACCATTGAGATATATCCCAGCTCTGAAAAATGACCATTTTAAGAATTCTCTCAGATAAAACAATGAAATTTGTGTCTCTTCTGACCCCATTTTAAAACTGTGCTAAAACTGTTTTCCCTCATGTGTGCTAATCCTTAATAAGGAAGGCAAATTGATACAGCAGCTTTTCTATATTAAGAAATCAAGTGCAAGTGATTGATTATGTTTTATGGTATAAATTTTTGATATGTAAGCCGGGTGCACGGCTATAATTCTAGCACTTGTGAGGCTGAGGCGGGAGGATGGCTGTAAATTCCAGGCCAGCCTGCACTATACAGAGAATCAAGGCCAGCCTACACTACACAGTGAGATCCTGTTTCAAAACAAAGCAAAGCAAAGCAAAAACAAAACAAAACAACAACAAAAATCCAAGCCTTTGTTATTCAGTGCCACACATAACTTTATTTATTTACATTAACTCTTGAGCGTTTTATTTTGGAAGTGGTGTTTTTCTTCTAATTTCTGTTGCTGATTTTTCTACTTGTGGTTGTCTGTAAAAGCTGTGGCAGTTTCTCAGTGAATTGTGAAAGTGGTTCTAGATTCTGCCACTCTAGTTGTGAGGTTACTTTCATATATATTGGTTGCAACACAGAAATTTTTTAAAAAGTATATTTAACCTGATTCCTTAAGTTCACTTACATTTTTGTTGATTTACATAGGGTTCACAGAGCTTATTAAAGATTTTCCATATGAAATGTCATTTAAATGTGACTTTAAAAATATAATAGCCAGAATTTGATTTTTCCTCACATGTCACAGTTATTCTTTTCTTTTCTTTTTTTTTTTTTTTTTTTTTTTTTTTGGTACCGGGGATTGAACTCATGACCTTGGGCTTGCCAGGCAGATGCTTGTGCCACTGAGCTAAACCCCCATCCTGAGACAGTAATTCGTATTGAACATTTTTCTGTTAACATAGTATGCTTAGCTTAGCAATTCTGCTCATCACACTTCTAGTTTCCATGTATACTTGGGCTTTGAGAAAATACTATGACTTAATGCTACTACTTGATATATCTAGTATAATGATGACTTGGTACTGAATTTTTATTCTTTCATACTGCATTTTCTCCTTCTTTCATTATAGTGTCCTTTCAAAACTAAGGATAAAATTAAAGACATAATTAACATACTTTTTCGAGGGATTAAAAAAAGGTGAAATTATACAGAAGTTTCAGTTGTTAAAAGCCATAGAATGACTTTCTCAACATTTTGTAGCATCAAAACCTGAAATTTTATTCCTTGACACGAGTGTTCACCAACTTCTTTCAAAGAAAAGTAAATTTTTTATAGGCCATTTTAACTGAAATTGTAATTACATATGATAAATAAAATTGTCCAATGGAAAACAAATATTTGGAATTTTGTGCAAGGTTATTTATAATGGAGTTCATAAATTTATTAAATGCACAATTGAAAGCAACTATTTTTTTCCCTAAGTATAACATTATAAAATAATCTAAATTTTCTAAGTACCAAATTGGGACTGTCCTAATAAAAAAAGAATTATAATTTCCCAGATAAAATTTTCATGGATGCAAGGGAGCTAATGGAGTACAGGAGGATTTTGTGTGTCTTAGTGTTTATGGAATTAAATTTATTCTTTCTTTTTTTTTCTTTCTTTCTTTCTTTCTGCTACTGTTTGTGGACTTCTTTTAATTCTACAGTTTCCTTCACACGTGCCTCATTGACATTATGATGCATTCGTGTGGAAATTATGAAAAAGTTGTTTTCATGCAGCTGTCCTATCATCACAAAAGAACTTCACTGCATGAAAAGCAAACATATCATTCAGCAGACAATGCTTAATCCGTTCAGGAGCCCAAACCTATTGCTGTTCAATGACAGAAGAAAGGAGAGGGATTAATTTGAAGATGCTTGTGCATGACATATGGTAATTTCTCCATAGGAAGGAAGTGTCAAATGGTGACCTCTAAATCTTAACATTGACCTCCAGTTGTAGAATGTGTGTGCCATACGGTCCTTTTGCTTTTTCATATGATAATTTAAGCTGCAACATTTTCCTGACAACAAAACTTTTTTTTTGCAGGGTGGTGGTGGTGGTTTATCTATTGTATAGGAATTATAAAATTCACGGTAATTGTTTTTGGTAGAGATAGCATTTGTATCATGAACTATTATTTATCCTTCAGTAAATGCAACTATAGTAAGATTCTTCTAACAAGAGTAAACATAATAACGTGGGATATATTCTTCACAAGTTGGTGTATTTTAAATGGAGTTTTTATACAATGAATATGGAAAGTTGAAATGTTTTCAGTGAATATTGGCTTGAGATGTTTAAAAATATTTTGCAAATAATATTAGAGAGTAAACTTACAACAATGTAATCAACAATGTGAAGATTTATTTAAACAATTTTGTGATGAGATACATTTTAAAAATTGAATCACATTTCGCTAATTTTTAGCATGTTGTTTTTTAAAGTATAGCCTTGGTTATTTTAGAGCTGTGTTTTCATCTCATTCATCTATCATACTGAATAAGCTTTGACTTTAAGAGGAAGTTGAACTACACTGCTATTCAATAAAATGCATCATTTCCCTACTGTAATCTTTAATAATCATCCCTTCTGATTAAAACATCACTGTTCAGTTCTACGTTCGCTATATTTTGCCGCCTTTGTGCTTCATTCTTCACTAATATTGAGCTTTTTTTCAGAAACTGCTGTACCTCAATTCTGTCCTCTTTATTTCTATTTTCCTCTGCAAGTCGCTGCACCTGTTGTTTCCACTCGGTCTGACGCTGATCACTCTGGCTCTGACTCTGCCTCTACTCCTGCTTTACATACCTGTTTCTTAGTAAATGAAGGTATTCTCTCTCAACGTTCTAACAACTTTTCTTTCAATCTGTGCTTTATTCTAATAGACATGTTCTTTTTATCTGATTTATGCATTCATCTGCTTTATTATAGCTGAGATCCTAAAGTTCCCACCCTGTAACTTTACTTGCTTATGTCAAGGATAAGAGCCGGTTACAGAAATGTGCAATTAGTCCTGGCTTCTCTAGATAATGATTCCAATGTCATCTAAAATGCTGCTAAAGGAATGCAAAGTTGCTAATCTTTGTTGTGAAGTGAAAATTGAAAGATGAGTTGGTTTTCATAGTGTTACTTGCCATGTGCCAGAATTTGTTTTATGTATAGAATCAGTCTATGGTTAAAAAATAGTGTGGTGTTTTTAGACAATTACATACAGTAACCTGGTTAAAAGGAAAGATGAAAGAGGCTTCTAATTTACATTCTCATTTGAAGTCCTCAGATTGATTACAAGCTAATAAGATTTTACTTATCCTGTTACTATTTCTGCTTCAGGCTGAGGCAAAAATCCATTATATCAATCTTTAGATTTAGTTGCGCTGCCATATGCAAGAGGAAACTAATTTTGAAAGTATGAAAATGTAACGAATCTGCGAATCTCTGTTCCCTAAGACCCATCTACGATTATTTATAGCACCTGGAAACTTAATGGAACTTGAGACTTCCGTGTTGCAAGACTGTGGTCTCCATCTTTGTTTGTATGATATAAAAAAGAGTAAAGTTTCAGAATCTAACCTGTAACTCAGGGTGATTCTGGTTCTTCTCTAAAAAGTAAAACAGTGAACCCATTTGAGTGGACGTGGCGATGCAGTGCCTATGAAATGTAGCGCTGCTTTGCAAAGAAAATAGGGTAATTTAAGAGTAGAATTTCATTTTTTCTTTGGTTTCCCTGTCATAGAAATGTATTAAAATTTTTGGATTAGAAATGGGTTTCAGCAAAAATAATTAAGGTCATGTGTAAAACTACTGTAAACAGTAGATATTTGTTGATTTTAAAATAAGCTGTTAGGCTTTGGGTCTTGGTGAAAATCATAATGATAATAAGATTTACTAGGACACATTTTTATTAAACATTAAAATACTTTAAGAAAACAGATTAAGTACATTAATATATGTGCATACATATATTTCCCCATTTTTAATAAATTATAAGCTAAAATGTCTATTACCTCAATATATTTACTTATCAGTTGATAGGAATATCCTCATAGGATGAATCTTTAAATAGACGACTTACCTGTTTTTTTAAATCTGTCTTTCTGTTTCTCTCTTTTTAACAATCCCAATGATCACTATGAGTTTGTGGTAGTATTTTTGTCTTTATTTTAGAAGACTACAGTTTAGATTATTTTAAAATACTGATTTGCTGAAATCCTGTGTTCATAGATAACTTACCTTGTAATATGGTAATGGGCTTTTTTGTTTCAGATATTCATTCTTAATTATTTGCCTTTAAATATTATTCTCAGGAGATAGTTGTAATTTTGTACATTAATTGTGGACTCACACATAATTTGGGAGGAGTAAGGCCTTTAATGTATATATAGGGATATTTTTAGAAAACTTTAGTTAAATGATTGAGAATATCTGTATACAAATACTTTGAGATATTGCATTGGTGTACAGTATTTGTCTTTGTCTATAATCAGGTACCATATTTTGAATTAAAATTTGGAATATGTAACTTTTATTACTGTAAGGCAGAGTTAATAATGCCTAAGACTGTACATTTGGGGTTGTTAGATTTTTATTTTGTGGAATATCTGAATTCACTTTTCCTTTCAAAATTGGCATTATGCTACTTATTTCAGTTATGATAGTGATTAAATATCTAATTCATTTTGTAAGGAGAAGGATCATAACTACCCTAATTAAAGGCCTTAGACAGAGGAGAGAGGACATGTTATAGCTGAGGCCAGGCTAACACACGGATAGCCGTGCCTTAAGCGATACATACTTACCTTTGGATATCTGTGTGAATGCCCTTTTAACTGACAACAATTTCACATCCCCTAGCTTTTACAATCTGTTTATTTTTATTCCTAAGTATCTTTTATTTTAGAAAGACTGTTCAGAAATATATTTTCCAGCTGGGCATAGTGGCTCATGCCTGTAATCCCAGCACTCAGGAGGCTGAGGCAGG